ACAGCGTTTATGGAGAAGTGGGAGAGACTCTCAATTAAATAATCACAAATGTGATCAGTGTGATGAATAAATGGTACAGGTAGCTATATATCTGATAGTCTGAGAAGTCAGTGGTTGGTGGTAGTTGCCTTGGGGACATTTAAAATAAGACCTAAAGAATGATAGAGGATTAAGCATGGGAGAGGGGGAGGGGAGGGGGAGAGGCAGAGGCAGAGGGAGAGGGAGAGGGAGAGGGAGAGGGAGAGGGAGAGGGAGAGGGAGAGGGAGAGGATGATGTTGAATTCACACTAATATAATTTAGCTAAAACTTGAAGTTTTACTTGGTAAATAAAAACTTTAAGTAAAATTATTAGTGCCTTAAACGAAATAGATGACCAATAAAATATTTTTTGAAAGTTTGAAGTAGTAAATAAATAAACAAACTGAATGAAAGGATAAATACCTTTAAAAGTTAGGACACTTGAATTCTAAACCTAGTTTGCCATTGTCTGCAACCCCAGGTGAATTTAAATACCCTTTCCTAACTCACTTTTTTTCTCTCTACAATGATAAAAAACAATTTGTAGTTCTACTTTACAAGGATATCAGAAAAATAAGTAAGAAATATAGCACGATGCTTTTAAAATATAATTTCTGAAGTCAAATTGTTTAGGTTTAATTCTTGGCTCTCTTAGCTGTGCGACTATGGGCAATTCATTAATTTGTGTGGCAGTTTTCTCAACTGTAAAACAGGGAAAATACTTAACTTATACAATTGTTGTAGAGATTGAATGAGAAAACCCATGTGAAAGCACTCGAACCCTGGCTGATACACAGTACAATGCTCAATAAACATTAGATGATAATTATTAGTATATGTAAATTTTGCATACAGGCAAAGTAATTTTTAAAAATCTACTTGACAGACAGATGGTTTGAATCTCAGGTATTCTGAATTTTTAATCAAATAGTTGAAAAACATAAAGCTGTAAGTCTTCTATATTTTTAGACCTGAAAGAATTATAAAACAAAGCTTATCACAAATATGCTATCAACAAACAAAATAACTTCCTTTTTAGAAAGAATATTCTTTCTGTGCCTATTCACTTGGATGGTGAACCTTCTCACCCATCAAATCTTAGTTTAAATGTCCCCTTCTCAAATCACTCAAGCTCAACTTACTCAAATTATCCTTTACTAGATCATGCAGTTTTCAAACTCTGTAGTTATATAATTATTATCGGTCTCTTCCCACCAGAATATAAACTCCATGAAGGAAGTCCTTTTTCTTACTCTGAATATACTCAGTTCAGACACTCAATTAATGTCTGGCAAATGTCTGAATCAACAAATTGATGATGTAAAAGATGGAAATGAAAAAAGTTGGTATAAAGGCTACAAAATTTTTTTCCATAAAAAAAGGCCCTCTAGATGAGTGTTTCTCAAACATTTTTAACATGACCCACAATTAATATATTTTATATCACATATATAAAACATATATATGTGATAACCACACATATCCACAGAATTAAAACATTTCACACAAAAATACTATACTTACTATGTGTGATGAATTCTGATATTTTCTATTCCATTCTATTATATTCCTTTATATTAAAAAATAATTATTGTGGCTCACTAAACTGATTTTATATCATGTTAATGTATAAAGACTTGAAGTCTGAAAAATGATGCTTGAAGTCAGAGGTTATTAAGTTGATATCTGAAAGGTATTTAAAAAATATGCATGGGAAGGAAGAAATAAAACTGTCTTTACTCATAGACGACATGATCATCTATGTAGAAACTGAAAAAAAAAAAAATAAAGAAAAACTTTCCTGGAACTAATAAGCAATTATAGCAAGGTTATAGGATACAAGGTTATTATACAAGACAATTGCATCCCCATATGACAGCAATGAACAAATGGAATTGGAAATTAAAAACACATCGTTTACATTACACCCCCCAAAATTAAATGATTAGGTATAAACCTAACAAAATATGTACAAGATCAATATGAAGAACTCTGGTAATGAAATAAAAGAACTAAACAAATGGAGAGAGATTCTATGTTAATGGGTAGATACACCCAATATTGTAAAGATATGAGTTTTTCCAACTTGATTGATAAATTCGATGCAATCTCAATGAAAATCCAAAGAGTTATTTTGTGGCTATTGGCAAACTGATTCTAAAGTTTATATAGAGAGGAAAAAGGCCAAGAAGAGCAAACACAATACTGAGGGAGAAGAACAAAGTGGGAGGATGACACTACTGACTTTAAAACTAACCACAAAGCTAGAGTAATCAAGACAGTATGGCACTGGCAAGAGAACAGAAAGATCAGTGGAACAGTATAGAAAGCCCAGAAATAAACCCCACAAATATAGTCAACTGACCTTTGACAAAGGAACAAAAGCAACACAGTAGAGCAAAGACAGTTTTCAACAACTGGTGCTGAAACAACTGGATACCTACATGCAAAAATATAAATCTAGACACAGATCTTACGCCCATCACAAAACTCTATCAAAATGGACTGTGAACCTAAATCTAAAACACAAAACTCTAAAATTCCTAGAAGACAACATAGGAGTTATATGATGTCTTTTTATGTACAATATCAAAGGCATGACCCATAAAGGTAAAAGCTGGATTTCATGAAATTAAAAACACTTCTGCTCTGCAAAAGACTATGTGGAGAGAATGAGAAAACAAATCACAGACAGAGAGAAAATATATGCAAAAGACACATCTGATTTAAAAAAAAAATTGTTATCCAAAATATACAATGAACTGTTAGAACTCAACAGTAAGAAAATAAACAACTTTATTTTAAAATGGGCCAAAATTGCCCTAACCCAGCGGTTCTCAACCTGTGGGTCGCGACCCCTTTGGCAGCTGAAGGACCCTTTCACAGGGGTCGCCTAAGACCATCCTGCATATCAGATATTTACATTATGATTCATAACAGTAGCAACATTACAGTTATGAAGTAGCAAGGAAAATTTTATGGTTGGGTCACAACATGAGGAACTGTATTTAAAGGGCCAGAAGGTTGAGAACCACTGCATAACCGGTTTGGCTCAGTGGATAGAGCATTGGCCGGCGGACTGAAGGGTTCCAGGTTTGATTCCGGTCAAGGGCATGTACCTTGGTTGTGGGCACATCCCCAGTAAGGGGTGTGCAGGAGGCAGCTGATCGATGTCTCTCTCTCATCGATGTTTCTAACTCTCTATCCCCTCTCACTTCCTCTCTGTAAAAATAAATAAAATAAAATAAAATGGGCCAATGACCTTAAGAGACACCTCTTCCAATGAAGATGTACAGATGGCCAGTAAGCATATCAAAAGATGCTGCACATCACATGTTAGCAGGGAAAAAAAACACACCAGTGAGATACAACTACACATCTATTAGAATGGCCAAAATTTGGAATACTGACAACACTAAATGCTGGCAAGGATGTGTAGTTGAACTCTCATCCATTACTGGTAGGAATGCAAAATGGTAGTCACTTTGGAAGATAGTTTGGTGATTTCTTACAAAAGTAAACATACTTTTACCATACGATCCAGCAATTGTGCTACCTGGTGTGTACTCCAAGTTGTTGAAAACTTTTATCTATACAAAATCTACGTGTGGATGATTACAGCACCTTTATTCATAATTGCCAAAACTTGGAAGCAACCAAGATGTTTTTCAGTAGGTGAATGGATAAACCATGGTATATTCAGACAGTGAAATATTATTCAACACTAAAAAGAAATAAGCTATCAAGCCATGAAAAGACATGGAAGAACCTCAAATACATATTGCTAAGTGAAAGAAAACAAGAAAAGGCTACATACGGTGTGGTTACAACTAAAACATTCTGCAAAAGGCAAAATCATGGAAATAGTAAAATTATCAGTTTGCCAGGGACTGGGAATGGGGAGAGGGCTGAATATGTGGAATACATGATTTTTGGAGAAATGAAAATACTTTGTATACTCTAATAATGGATGCATGTCATTATATATTTTTCCAACTCATAAAATGTACAACACCCAAGCGCGAGCCATAATGTAAACTATGGACTTTGAGTGATTATAATGTGTTAATGTAGGTTCATCAGTTGTAAAAAAATGTGTCACTGTGGTGGAGGATATTGTTAATTGGGAGGCTGTGCATGTGTGGGTATAGGGGATTATGGGAAATATGTACCTTCCCCTCAATTCTCCTGTAAAACAAAAACTGCTCTAAAAATATTAACTTAAAAAAAAAGTTGATGCAGTTTTATGTATATGTGAGTTTGCTGGTAGGGCAGAGTTGTCATGGTTTTCAGATTCATGAAGAGGTTTATGGCCCCTTAAGTCTAAGGGCTTCTATTACTATATGTTATTATCTGTGAAGCACTACACAAAACTATATGAAAAATGTGATTTAACAGGGATGGCAGTATATGATAGGAAAAAACATTTTGATTTTGAAGTCTGATGAGGCTGAGGTTCAAATCATTTACTGACTCTGTAATCTTGCTTACCTATTATGAGCCTTAGGTTTTTTTTAATCTGGAAAGTAGCTTGAAAATCTTCTTCATGGGTTAAGTAAAATAAAAATTATGTAAAACATCCATTGTAGAACCTGGAATATTTGCTAGGTATTCAATAAGTGATAGGCATAATTATTAAATTCTAATATTTTCAACAAAATTAACTTCCATGGACAAAAATACAATCTTAAACAAAGTACAACTAAATTATAAAAGTATATTATTGAAAAAATAGATTATTCATGTATGTGCAGAAATTATATTCCAGGATCTTACTTTTCCTCATAGCTAACACTACTGTGTAGAAATCATCACAACATGCTCCTCCAAGTATGACTTTGTAAGTTCAACAGTGTAACAAATACCCACAATATACAAAGTATGTAGAAAAGTAATTTAGCAAAAAAATAAATAAATTAGTACCCTCACCCCCACAATTACAATGAACAACTTATGGTATTTTTAAAACAATGATCCTCACATCACTTAGCTGCCTGTTGCAGAGTGCTGTGGCTGAGTTGGTATTCTGCTTATTCCCTGCTTTTAAAGCGGCATCTCTTCTCGCTTGCTCAAGCAGAACTCTTGCTCTTTCTTTAAGTTCTTCTTGTCGAGATAACATTCGTTGCTTAAAAGCAAAGTACAGAATTAGAAGCCTCAAAAATAAACAAACAAAACCCCAAGAGCATGTAAACTAATCAATGGTTATACAACCTGTCGAAATAATAGTGTTGCTTCAATCATAGGTATCCTTCATAGTCAAGGAAGAGGTGATAAACAGTAAGCCTATTATTTTATTTGGTGTCATATAAAACTTCATTATAAATTTACTGTGTATATCATTTTTGGGTCTTTTTATATTTTAATATAACAATTTAAAAGCTTTTTTCTGTAATCTTAAGCAAGGAAGAATTTTTTAAAAACTGTACAAGTCAGTGGTTTTTAGTATATTCACAACGTTGTGAACCACCAACACTATTAATTGCAGGACATTTTCAACAACCAAGGTTTTAAGTGGATTTTAAGTTCATGTTGATAAGACATAATAGAATAAAATTGGTCACTGCATTTAAAATGGTTACAAATCAACACTTTTCTCTAAACAGAAAGAATTAGTGAAATGAACACTGAATTTGCAGTCTAAACATCAGGCTGTTAATCCTGATACACAATTTAACACTGAACAGGTCACTTAAAAACTATACTGTATTCCATTACATGATATTTAAGAACTCTGGAGTCAAATATCAGTTCCATCACTTAATTGTGAGCAAGTTAATCAAACTCTCTAACTCTCCATTTCCTCATTTATAAAGTGGGAATAAAAACAGACCAACTCTCATTAAGTATACTATAAAGATTAAGTGAAGTAGAATAATATTCTGACGATTGGATAAATGTTAACTATTATTATATTTTTAAAAATCTCTCATCTTAAAAAAAGGGGAGATCATCTTTAAGATCCCACAAGCTCTACATATGATTCTATAGTCCTTTAAGGATTTCAATCAGCTACACAGGTGTAGCAAAAAATTGCTTTCGTGTTTAAAACACAAAAACACAATTTTTTTCTGATTATAAATGCAATTTATATTAAATATATAAAAGTAAAAATAAAAAAAAATAAAATTGGAGGCATCACGCTCCCTGATTTCAAACTATACTAGTATTATAATGCTATAGTAATTAGAACAGTACGGTACTGGCATAAAAACAGAAACACAGATCAATGAAACAAAACAGGGAGATCAGAAATTAACCTATGCAAATGGATAGTCTCTTCAATAAATAAGTTTTGGGAAAACTGGACAGCCACATGGTCAAAAAGGTACAAACTACCAGGTATAAAATAAATAAGCCCTTTTCCTTCTGGAAATCACCATACTGTTGTCTGGGTCTATGAGTCTTTCTTTTTATTCCTAATCCCTTCACCCTTATCCAGGGCCCAACCTCCACCCCTCTGACATCTGTCACTCTGTTCTCTGTAACTATGAGACTGATTCTGTTTTGTTGATTAGTTTATTTTGTTCATTAGATTCCAAATGTAAGTGAAATCATATGGTACTTGTCGTTCTCTGACGAGTTTATTTCACTTAACATAATATTCTCCAGGTCCATCCAAGCTGTTATAAAAGGTAAGATTTCCTTCTTTTTTATGGCTGAGTAGTATTCTATTGTGTAAATGTACCACAGGCTTTTTTTATCCTCTCATCTACTGATGGGCACTTGGGTTGCTTCCAAATCTTGGCTATCCTTCCTATATAATAAAAGCCTAATATGCAAATTGTCCCCTCGACTGGGAGTTCGACCAGGGGGTGGGGCGGGCTGGCCCCACCCCGGTTGGCGGCAGCAGCAGGCAGCCCGGGGAAGGGAGGCCCTGGCCAGCAGCCACTAGGGACCCTACCCGTGCACAAATTTCATGCACTGGGCCTCTAGTTATAAATAATGCTACAACATGGATGCAATGAACATAGAGGTGCATATATTCTTTCCAATTAGTGTTTCAGATTTCTTTGGATATATTTCCAGAAGTGGAATTGCTGGTCATAAGGCAGTAGTTCCACTTTTAATTTGTGAGGTAATTCCATATGCTTTCCACGTGTGCCACTAATCTGCAGTCCCACCAACAGTGCATGAG